AGTAAGTTTGTAATGGACGTTGCCTCAATTTGATAGAGAATGTTATACATAGAAATGTGACTGCCTCGTGGACCGAGTGGTCGCAAGTGCAACTGCCGGGCAAGAGGTCTCGGGATCGATTCCCGGGTCGCCCAAATTATTACGGGGTTTTTAAAAAAAATAGTCAGTAGTAGCATGGAGTCTGGAATTGTGCCCGGTATATGACAATAGGCTCATCCCCTATTACATGGGACTCATAACATAAATAGTGAAAAGTGGGTGGTTACATTGTACAGTGACTTATTGTACACCTCTGCCTACCCCTTCGGGGATAAAAGGCGTGATGTTATATTAAGTTTGTTAATTAACCATAATGTTTTCGCAAAGTTACTGGATATTATACGTATCTCGTATACATTTTGAAATACTCAGAAACAATATGGAGATTAAACTTGTGCTAAAAGATTTATTTCATGGAATTAACCAACTATTACTAAATCGACTGAAGCATAATAATTGTAATTCAAGCTAACTCTATGAGGAAAACTCATTTATGAGGAAAGCCTGACTTGCTGTTTTATTAGGAAAACCATTTGAATTCAGAACTCGATATTAGTCGTTAGTACTTAGTTGGTCGTAATTTAAAGATAATATTTTCTAGTTCATAACATAATATAACATCACGCCTTTTTATCCCCGAAGGGGTAGGCAGAGGTGCACATTACGGCACTTAATGCCATTGTACAATGTAACACCCACTTTTCACTATTTTATGTTACGAGTCCCATGTAATAGGGGGTGAGCCTATTGCCATATACCGGGCACATTTCCAGACTCCGTGCTACTACTGAGATTTAAAAAACCCAATAATACTTTGCCCGACCCGGGAATCGAACTCGAGACCGGCAGTCGCACTTGCGACCACTCGGCCAACGAGGCAGTCTTATTTTCTATTTTACAGTTACAGTATTTTCTAGTTCTTAGAAAGGATTTATTACTTTTTTCATGGACACACGTATGTAAAATAGAAGAGTCCAGAATTGTTTTAGTCTTATGTTTTTATTACTAATATAAGACTCGAAATTGTAAAAAGTTGTTCTAACTAAGAAATTAAAAGATATCATAATATTGACATAGGGATGATTACCAATCATAAGCTATTATCAAAGAAAGATTTAATTTAAAAAATAGAGGAAGGCCTCGTGTTATGTGGCCTATATGTTTGTTTTAGAAATACGAAACAAAATTGGTTTTATCAAAGCAGACATAATGCCAATATTCTTTAGCATAATATAATGTAAAATACTAAAAAATACCAATTTTATTTATCTACTATAAATAAATAAAATCTTATGTAAGAATCGTAGCAATTGCCATTCCATAGTCTCTGCCTACCCCCCAAGGGATTCGGAGTCGCGGAGAACCTAACGGGTAACCGGGGCTCCGGCTCGACGTGCAGGAGAAGGAACGGGGTGGTTTTTAGTCAGACTCGAGTCTGACACTCCCTCCCGCCTCACCCAGGCGGGAGCAGTCATTCGATGATTTTCACCCCTTAAAAAAAAACCCCAAGGGAGACAGGCGTGAGGTTATGTATGTATGTAGTTTGAAATTAATTCTCGATAGCTTCACACATATTTCGCTCGTTATTGCACGTAACTAAAGTTGCCATAGTCGGTGTAAAATGTTGCCATAAAATATCGACACGTTTTTAGATGCTCGTCATAAAATGGTAACTTTTTTTCGATAACGTTAAAACATGTTCGATGCATTATCGGTATAGTTTTCTGGAGTCCATTAATTTGGTTATGGCAACACTTTCGATGAAACTACTGAGCGATAAAAAATATTACTTGACTATAGTTTGGTCAAGAGTAAACCTTTTGATTCTGTTGATATGTTCATCTAATCGAGGTTATACTAAATGTCATTTGTATCCCTAAACGCTAATAAGCTAAAATTTTTCTTTAGCTGTTGGGTTATATATATCTAGTTGGTCCCACATGTCACATAATATGTGACTAACGCAGTGGTTGGGTAACTGACTGCTGTGCAACGTGTCGTGAGTTTAATTCCTGCACCGGGCAAAAAGTGATAATGGCATTTTCTGACTGAAATTGCCATTTTAGCCCGGAGAAGTTCGGCGGTGTTTCACCCCCGTGCCTCGGAAAGCACGTAAAGCCCGTTGGTCCTGCGCCTAATCTCTATCCGGTCGTGTTAAGCTACCGTCCCACCAGGTTCAGGGAGTGAGGAAACAAAGAGTGTACTATGTGTTTGTATACTACTGCAATATAATAATTCTCCTGCGTAATGGGCTAGTCTAGTTAGACTTGTCACCATGATCGAAATTGATCGAAGCATTTATAATATGTGATTTATTACCACTGACTATTTAGACAGATGAAACATCAACTACTTGTAACAGGTCACTGGTAGACCGTTATGCTTCCTCTATATATTCGAGAGAGTATAGCAAATATATAAAATACTAGCTGTTATCCGCGACTTCGATCGCGTGAAATTATTCATATTTCTTGCTAATTTATACTTTTTTGACGCCACAACGTGTTGATTGGCGAGGCGTATTTGAGAGTTAGTATGAATCGGAACGTTTATTGTCTACTCAAGATGGCGACTGCGGTTCGTCTATCAGTGTCATTAAAATGAATTAATAAAACGAAATAATCTCCGTAATTCGATTATTTTGTCGATTCGTAATCGATATTTTTTATGTTTTGTTATTCAGGTAATGTTTCGATCGAGTCTACCGTACCCCTTGACGAAATTATTAATATAAATATGCTCTGCGAATTTAGACACCTAACAACCCAATTACAAATCGAAATATCGTTTCTAAAAATCTGCGATTAGGTACTAGAAAAAAATCACCACTTTACTTATTAAAGAAAAAATAATATAATGATAAAATATTTTGTTGTTTTTGTTCGTCCAGACTAATGCGGTGTTGTGAGAAATAATGTTCACGCTAAGTGGTGTGACCGATATGGATTTACTACGCACGCAATTCTGATTTACTTCGCTTAACGTAAAGCTTAGTATTGATTTTGTTTTCTTGATGTAGGTAAACATGTATTTAGGAACTATATAACAGTAACCTGCTTGTTGTTTGTGGTTCTGAGTTATGTACTTTAATATTTTTAATTTTAGGAGCAGCCTCAAAATTTGCATTAAGTTAAGTCAGTATACGTCGTCGCTTGTCGACGCCATTCGTTATAACGTCAACCATTTATGTGACGATTAAAAAGATCAAGTAAAGATTTCCTCATCAATAAAGACTACCTCATTGGCCGAATGGTCACCAGTGCGACTGTCGGGCAAGGGGTCTCGGGTTCGATTCCCGGATCGGGTCAAAGTCAAAGTCAAAGCATTTATTTCAATTAAACCATAGTTTGGTACTTTTGAAACGTCAATAAATACAAAATAAATAATAGTCTGTCAGTCAGTCTGTCAGTGAAACTAGGTAAAGCTAGGTGCTCATTCCAAAAAGTAGATTCGAATGGAGAAGAACGAGTAGGAAACTCTTTTTAAAAAAGTATGTTCTACAATGTGTCGGGCAAAGTACTACTGGGTTTTAAAAACCTCAGTAATAGCATGAACTCTGGAAACGTGTGTATAGCAATAGACTCACCCCCTATTACATGGGACTCATGACATAAATAGGGAAATGTTGGTGTTACATTGTACAGTGGCATTAAGTACCGTAATATGCACCCATGGCTACTCCTTCGGGGGTAAAAGGCGTGATATTATGTAAAAAGCTCCTTTGACTAATGAGCATTCATAAAAATATTCTTAAAGAAAATGAAATTTGTCATAATCGTTTCATTTATAGTGACTTTCTGTCACTATCCAAATGGGAGATAGACATGACCAAGTGTACCTATATGACTATGACTGTTAACATAGTATTGTAAACAGTATCTTTGTATATATTTGGCCACAAACCATTTTAAAATTTTAAACGAAATCCATAAATAACTATCGTATTAATTAAATGAATAATTTATCAAAATAATGAATTGACCACAAAGTACGATATTTTCGACCTCACATTTCGCAGGTTATAATGGATGACGGCGATGGTGTGGTTGCATCAAGTGCTGACCAGTGACCGCTGTGACTGACAGTCCATTAAGAGACTATGTATTATACATATAAGGATATAGGATAAAGACTATATCAAATTAATGATGGTAAAGTATACTGTATTGCGCAGAGAATAAAGGTTATTTTGTTTGTGAAAATTGCATATTAGTCTAAATTACATTAGCAATCTTTGTTATATTATTTAGATATCTTCCTTTGTTTTCAGTGCAATCTGGACTACATGTACTTTTCGTTAGCTATCTTGGTAGTTTCAGTGTGTATTGAGAAGTTAGACAATAGGGATGATGACAGGGTATGAAAATTAAAAATCTAATTAGTCCGTCAGTTAAGTAATGAAACAATATTAGACACGTATTTTTTTATTTTGTCGTATAAGAAAACAATACTTAGATGAAACGAATCGAAGTTTAGGAGTGGGAGGTAGCTACCTCATTTTAGAGTATAAACTATACTCAAAAGTGACGTCATGCGATATTTCAAATCAATATATCTTCGAAACTATTCGTTTCCGTAAGAAAATATAAAATACGTGTCTAATGTTTTTAAATACTCTACCAGATGGACATTAAAATAAAAATTGATCATCTACCTTATTGCTATAACCCAGGACCATTGTACACTTAATATAATTTTGAGATAATACAAAAAGCGGACTATAATAATATTAGCTCCATAGGTTTCTGATAAATACATATTTTGATGCCATATATTTCAAACTGAAATTTTGAAAGGACTTAAAACGCAAACGATTACAAAATATGAATAGTCCCTAGTTGAGCTATGGAACCGAACTTTGATGTCCTCAAAATACGAAACAAATAACGCTCGTTCAAATAAACGAACTGAGCATTTAACAAACCAATTCTCAGATGAGTAAACAAAACATTTGGTGGAACTCACCCGGTCCTCGCAAAATTAGCCATATAAAGTATGAATGCCTCTGACAAAGCCACTTCAGACTTCGTGTAGTTTCTCGGAAAATGGCCGAGCCCATCAACTAATGGTGCCCCGAATAAGTATGGGAGCTCTTCACCGTGAACTGACCCCATCCTCTGAAATATAAAGGGATATTAGTATGATAATTTAATAGCTGAATGAATATCTATAATCGAATTTAATTTAGAGTCATATGAACAATAAATATATTTTATACTGTAAAGGCGTTTATTTCAATGTCCTTGATTTACTTGCTTTGCTGTAAAGTTACTATGACATGATTGAAGCACCAAAATGTCTTTTGTGTTTTTATGTGTGCGTGTAATGCAACATCGTAATAAATTAATTGTGATGGCGGGTCATGTCACATGACAGATGTCCTTTGTATCAATGTGTGTGTATTCTGAATGTAAGTCTATAGTAGCCAGGTGCCATAGTCGGTGTTTCAAAAAACTATGGCTGCCAACGTCCTTGCTTTGAAGTGACAATGTTGAATCTTATGATAGAATTCATTCATTTTTCAAAGAATGTAATGTGTAATAAATAGTTGTAGTCGTAAAATGTTTAAGAGAAAACTATTGAGAGACTGCCATTGTACGCTGAAACCCATGCTGTACTTTAGAGTGTATTGAATGGAACATAATATTTTTAAGATCAATTTCATAGTAGAAAGTAAGAAAAATCTATGTAAGTATAGAAAATACGTTTCGTTGCTATATTGTGTGAATTGTCAAAATGATACGATTGTTTTAGATGAAAGAGAAATATTTACATAGAACAGATTCGATACATTGTTTATTAATAATTAATAGAGCTAGGTAATTATGTACGAACTAGACTATTAGATTAAATGAAATAATGCAATTACGATTTATGAAGCTATTTCTAACTCATTGAATATTTTCAACATCTATTGAAAATGACCAGATTGACACTAACCAAACTATAGATGATGAGATACAGTGTAATGAAAATAATTTCAAAAGTAAAGAGTATAAAAACATTCTAACCCTCACCTGCGGATAATCCCCATCCTTCGTCTGGTAATCGAACACGTAGAAGAATGTCCTTGGTGATGTGTCTGGTGAACTGAGGAAATCTCCAGTTTGGACCAGAGGTGCCACGTATTGAGCATCTGATAATGCTAGTACTGCTGCATCTCTTGTGTTTATGGGGTGCTGGTACAAAAGAGAAATTAAGAATTATTGTACTGTATTTAACTATAAATAATAATAATAATTAAATTTATTGCAGAATAATTGCTTCCATAATTTGTTAGTAATAATGTTCTTAGCCTATGTTAGTAATAGCATACTTAATTAAAAATGAAATAATTTCACTAGAATTAATTTACCTGTTCCAGAAACGAAATTAACGATGCATGTTAAGCGAGTGGTCAAATAAAAGTTGGTATTACCTTCGCAATAAAGAGACGTACAGCAATAATAATAAAATAAATAATACCTTACCTACTATAGATGGTTGGCAGGCCACAACTGTGCGCTTCTCACGTAGCCTTCTGCCTCGCACAGCAAAACTGTAGAAAGATTTGTCGTCGGCGGTATTTCCGAACCGACACAACCTTCAAACCTTCAAAGAGCGTATTCCTTTTTAAAAGGCCGGCAACGCACCTTTGACTCCTCTGGTGTTGCGAATCTCCATTGGCGGCGCTGATTGCTTACCATCAGATGAGTCGTCAAAAAAAATAAAGATACCAAAATTTTTAACCATTAGTTCTAATTTTAGTTCCACCAATGCATATATCTAAACACGTTCAGGTAATTTAATTAACCATACAAAGCATTACTGTCTCATTCAGGCCTAAATTAATGTTATCTTACTACCTGGATTGCCTATGAATTGTTCTGATAATGGCTCCTGTACACTATCATCACTAACACAATGAGAAGCCATATCATTGTGTATTGGATTGATGCTCTGACAATTGTGTAAGCTCTCTTGAATGAGAAAGGCAGACACTAGATGGCAGCACATGTGTGTGTAATGTACTAAATTCTGCCTTTTGTTGTTTAAAGCTTTTGGCTTTTACGATTGAATGTTTGGGACAATGGCTATGTGATTCATAGCGATTTTCAGCAGATGGATTACCTGATGGTAAGCATGGTCCGCCCATGGACATTCGCAATACAGACTTACAAGTAATTGGACGGCCTTTTGCAGGTTTGAAGATTGGGGATTTGAGGTTGGAGAGATTGGGGAGGGGAATTCGTCATCACCAGAGTGTGATATATTTGCGTCAAGCTGGAGGACTGTATGCAAAGAATGCATGAAGTTGTGTAAGTGTATGAATGCATAACTGTATTTTATTTTATATTGTGTTGTAAGTGAATGTCTTATTATTTTATATTGTATATTATTACTTATTGGTATTAAAACCTGTCATAGTTTGTAAGGTTTTCTTATTCTTATTGTTTGTTTTATATTTTTCTACCAAGTTTGCAATTTGTCATTTAAGGACTTTTCTGTTTTTTTTTTTCTTTTTATAATTATTTGAAATGTATAACGCCTTATGACTGTAATATTATACTATTTAATTGAAATAAATAAATAAATAAATTCTTCTTCCCCTGATAACGTCACTAATGCAGTAAAAACATAACACTGGTTTTCTGTGAGGCCGTGGGACTTCAGTCAAGTCAACCTATTTGTACCAACATAAATTTATATTTTTTTTAGACGGTTGGATAGATAACAGTAAATAACACTTCATAGACTTATCGCAACCCATTGACGAGTTCCTCCTTTCAATTTATTTTTAGGCACAATTCCAGATCGCGGTTTCATTCATCAAAATGAAAGATATCGTAGAAAAAGTGAAACTCGACCTTCGATACCCGACGGACCCCAAACAGCATTTGAATTTGAAAAGATATTGAGGCGTCTGAAATTCTAATGATCACAAAGAACATTTTTGCATGTCAATCTCAAGCGAGGGCGGAATAATTTGGAAGAAAGGGCCAAAGTTTATTGTAATTCTTTTGGCTTTAAACAAAGTAACTCTTTCACTTTATGTATACGCTATCTCGCCTCACGGTACGCGATGATGCGGCCTACGATGGAGCATGCCTGCTCATATGCAACGTATTCACTCGAGTTTGAATGCTTTCACGAATTGGGTGTACCCAGGTCACCAAGGCACTAAAGACACCCTTCGGGCAATACAAATTGGCAATGAATTACAGTAAAAACATTAACTACTATGCTTTTCAAGTTAGGAATTCTTTCAGAACTTAAATGACCTTGTGTTTTCATTGGGTGAATTCATGAACCAGGCTTACCCTCTAGGTAAATGCGAGACTTATAAAGGTGCGTCTACATCTGGCGAATGCGTCGTGAATTTGCCGCTTGCGAGCCGTTTACGGGCTGCCCGCGAGCTGCACGTACAGTTACGGCAATGGTTTGGTGCTCAACTCATACAAGTTTAGTAAAAATAATAATTTTAAATCCACGCGCGCAGCTCGCAGTCGGCTAACATAACTGGGAGAAGTGGTTTTAACGATATACAGGGACAGTTCTGTCTGCTCCTTCAGAGATTGAAAAGGTGTGGCGTCGTGTATTCGTGCGGTTTCAGGGGCGTCATGTCAACGTAAACGAAGCTTTATTATAATAACTTACATCACTTAGAAACTTCTTTAAAACAAAATGACGTCACCAGAAAGCCAAGTGACCATCTGCGCTCAACTTGAGTTACTACGTTCAACTAAGTGCTTTGTCGACATACTTCTTGTGTACTTGAAGGCATGCATTTAGTGTTCCTAAACTATTAAACTTGCTATTTCTTGAAGATAGAACTTAACATTTACCATACTATAAATTTATAAGGAATCAAAATCTTGATTTTCTATTTTAAAATTGTCAGTAATGCATTTGCTCTGAACGTTGGTAATGTATAAAGGTAATTTAGTTCGCGTAATGGTAGTAGAGAAACACCAATCGATATTAAGTACTTACTAACAAAATTAATACTTAGTTTATCAATTTACTGGAACTTTAATGGAAGCCGTCAGATAATAGCGAGATCGAACTTCGGTGGAACTTAAGTTTAATGTAAATTGATAGCCAGTTATTTCGTCTATATCAAATTCCGACATAAAATAAGTAAATAGAACAAGAGAAATGTGTAAAAAATCTTTATTTTCACACAGCAACAAACACATTAGTAGATTGGTTTTAATTACATAATACCTAATTACCTACTAACAATTCATCGGTTCTTACAACTTTATGGCAACGACATTATACATTTTGGCACGGTCTATGTATTTGATTAATTGTAAAATCTATTACATTCATGCTTCTTGTCTCATTTCCAAATCAAAATTATTTCTATAGCAAATCGAATACTTTCTCTTCAGACACGATTTTATTAATAAATACTTTTCTATTAATAATTATTATTATTAAATCTAATTACCTATTCTTATTATCATCATCGTCAGTTTCTTTGCTTTTACTGTCATCTGTCTCAGTTCTTGGTTTATGTACAGGAACTATTTCTGTTGGAGGTGGAGTTATAGGTACAAGACTGCCATCCTCCTCAGCGAATTTCAGACCAATTGTAGCCCCGAGCTTAGCACTAGCCTGCTTGAATGTATTAGACAGTTTCAATTGTACTACGTTAATGAACATAGAGGTTAAAGCAAATCCGAACACTAAGTATAGAATAGACGCCATCATGAACATGGGATGGTCAGGGACTAAATCACCTAAACCGATTGTGGATATCGATATGAATATAAAGTAGAAGGATTCGAAGAAGGTCCATTTCTCCCATAAGCTGTAGACGAATGCTCCGAGATTGATGTAGGTAAGTAAAATGATTACGGCGACGGAAATCGGTAGGTTAAACTCATCGTCTATTTCGAAGACGGATGGTGCTGGAGTTTCAAGATCTGTTTCATTGTCTATTTCTCTTGGAGTGCCAGGTTTTGGTGGTAGTGGAGGGGGAACTTCACTCAACTTCCTCCCGACAAGTGGTGGCTGGCCACTTGGACCCTCTTCTGTTATATCTTCCTCGTTGAATATTTGCGACGGACGCCGAACGACATCGTAGACAATGTTCAGGCCTTTCATTACTTCCTGAAATTTAAATAATGTGAATGTCAGTTTGGTATTGAGAAATGTTAACTTTTATGACGGAAAGAAACATTATAGTTTGGATTAACTATTGGCAATGGATTTATCCTATCAGCACATTTTTTCATACATAACATACATAACATCACGCCGGTTATCCCCGAAGGGGTAGGCAGAGGTGCACACAGAAGTATCACCCACTTTTCACTATTTATGTCCCATGTAATAGGGGGTGAGTCTATTGCCATATACCGAGCACATTTCCAGACTCCGTGCTACCACTGAGACTTTTTTAAAAAAACTCAGTAATACTTTGCCCGAGCCGGGCATCGAACCCGAGACCCCTTGCCCGGTAGTCACACTTGTGACCACTCGGCCATCGAGGCAGTCTTATTCGTAAAATATAGAATGGAAACATGGAATAATCCTTTGTGCAAGCTGGTTGTGCGTTCATCATGTTTTCGGTTCGTGCGACCATACGACTAACCAGGCTGCGTTTATGTAGGATAAATACGGCTTAAATACTATAATGCGTGGCGCATGCCAGCGAAGCGTGCGGTCAGCCACGTAATTACAGCTAAAACCAAGAATGAAAGGGATGGCGAGCAATGGAATTTACCTTGTTAACTCGCAATATGGAACGTTATACCATTTACGCCCTAATACTGAAAGGCTACTCAATTTTAAGTGATACTTAAACAGAATGCCGTCTCTGTCATATTACAAAGAATTTGTAGAGTCAGAACTATACTTAAGCGTGACTTAAAATTGACGACGACGACATGATGCATATTAGGTATAAATATCTACATATTTCGTCTCATTGTATGCACAATAATATAGTCAGAATTTTAATTAGATTCCAGATTTGACAATAGCTACTGTCATTTGGTGAAATAATGATACCACATATAATAGTGTAGTGATGAACACAAAAATCGATAAACAATCAGTGTGTGTGATTTATAATAAATGTTACAGAAAGTGGCAGGATAGCGATAGCGGTGACGGCGACAATTTATAAAATAACTTATTACCATAATACATCTATCTGTTTTATTTGTCATGTTCCTTCATGATTACATTTTTTTATTTATTTCACACACAATTATAAAATAAAAGTCTCAGATCGTTAATTAATCGTCAAAACCAAATTATCGGTTCAAAAATATTGAATTTCCTGATATACTTTATTTACGAGAGTAAAATTATAAACGAGAAGAATCAATCCAGAAATATTGCATTTCCATATCGAATAATTTCGCAACGTCACTATTTAGTACTTGTCATAACGTTGCAACACTGAAATTGTCAAATCTAGAATCGAATTAAAATTCCGAGTATAGACTTTGTGCTTCTACTATTGATATTAAAATCTAAAACCTTATACAAAACTTGATCAGTGTTTGACTTTATTTTTCAGTAATCATAACAAATACCAATAGCTCTTAATCGCAGTGTAAGTTGTTTTCTTATTAATAGATTACGATTATCATTACTTTGATAACATTAAGTAGGTAACATATGTAAATATTTTTTTCAACTTGTAAAAAAACTGAAGTCCTCTGTTGACGACAAATGTGGGGACAAAACAAAAATTGAATTACCTGCACAGGCATGGTCCTCCTGACTTTCCTGCAACTCCTGGTATAGTAGAATCTTCTAATGAAAGCCCAGAAGAACTTGATGACCCTCGTGAAGAGTTTACCGAAGTCAGCTAAGAGGATCAGGAACAGAGGTATACCGATAGTAGCGTAGACTATCGTCGCTACGCGGCCATATACCGTCTTTGGAGCTATGTGGCCATAACCTGGAAT